CATATTGCAATCTTACTCAAGTCTAGAGCCAAAAGAAAAATACCCACTCCAAGTCCTTCCAAGTGCTGGAATTCACACAATAGCTCGCGGTTGAGATGTGACCCCAGCAGTTAAAGCGTAATTTAGGCAGCTGTGGGAGTCTTCATGAGAAATAACAGTGCATCTTTGGCCACTAACCACCTATGAAAGTGTGGAGACATTCCTGGTTAGTATGAGTGACCATGGAGTCGCCACAGTGGCGCACACACATAACTATTCATGGTTGATTGGTGTAAATATAGTATGGCCACAGTAGCGTTCACAAACATAGACACATATAAGCTCTGTTTCAAAACCTAATGAGCTGCCTACATAGGAAATTAAACGGAATCTCATAATCCTACAATAAGTGCAGGACCAACAATAGACCGCAATGCATAAAATACACAACACACACAAATATTGAGAAAAATAAGAATACTTTTCAAATATGTGATACTGCCGTAAGACTCGTTCACACAAAGGATGATAACTACAAAGTTTTAATAATCATTTAATAATCATTTCACAATTGACAATAGACAACAAATTTGTGTGGAATGTGACGCACCTTAATTCTGTGAGAATAGAGCGCAACAGTCAGGTTCTGGAAGTAAAAACTAGATAAATTTCCTCCACAGGAAATAAAGCCCACTCCCATGAAACACTGCAAATGACGTAATCTAGTCGGTCTCTGCTTTTAAAAAATACTGAAATATTTATGTGTTCTGATGACATTGATACATGTTGATACATTTTGTATATTGTATACAAAGTTTCATGCAATTATTGTCATCTCTGTTCTGTTTATAAGCATAATAAAAAAATAAAATAAAATAAAAAAAGAGCGTATGAAGGTTGGACTGTCAGCTAACCATAAACGAATATTCAAAATATTTACTAAATATATTTTGTCAGTCCTTCGTGTCTGTCCACATGCCTTTATAATAAAGCATACACTCTAAAAAATGCTGGGTTAAATATAACCCAGCATTTTTTAGAGTGTATATTTTTTTGGGGGGGAAATATTTGTATTTTGCCATAAACCTAAAATATATTGATTTTATAGATACATGTAAGAACTTTAAATAAATAGTTTTACATTTCCCATTGTTTTTCCCATTCGATTAATGCCATTCGCAATGCTTCATGGGATTGTAGTTCTTTACCCTCACTAAAGCCGTTAAAGGGATAGTTCACCCAAAAATGAAAATTCTGTCATCATTTACTCACCCTCATGTCGTTCCAAACCTGTATGAGTTGCCTTCTTATGTTGAACATAAAAGAAGATATTTTGAAGATTGCTGGTAATCAAACAGTTGGTGGTTGCCATTGACTTCCATAGTATTTTTTTTCCCTACTATGGAAGTCAATGGCAACCACCAACTGTTTGATTATTGCGGCAGGCAATAAAACTTATAATAAACAGAACTTTATTGTGTGTTTTTGTTATAGTTATGTTCATAGTTATCATTCTTGGTGTGAAAGGAGCATTTATAATTTTCACAAAAATCATGTTTTTTTAAAAGACCTGTAGCATATGACTTAAAATACTTCCTCTATATAGCAGCTTACAAAATTTTGAAACAAATCCATGGTTATTCTCTCAGTAAGATTTTTTTATTATTATTAATTACATTTAAGAATATTAAATGGCCTGAAGGAAACTATCTAGTGTGCTAGTTCACTGTCAATGGATAAAACCACCCGTCTTACACTAGTGACTAGGTCACATCCATCACTCATTGATGAGTTTTGTTGCAGAAAATAATAGATCTGTCACATAGTGGGTTTAAACCTTTGTTGAGACATTACTGTAATGAGCAGAATACGCCCAATGCATTCAGTGCTGGACAAATATAAAACCCCCTCATCTGTCATCTGTTTCATTACAGTGTCAGATATTCCCCAGTGTTAAACTCCTTATCTTTCTTTTCAAGCATTAGTCACTGTCTCTGCCTCAACCTGTAGTGTAACAGTCTGTCTCTTGAGCTTATGTGTGTGATATTCACTAGATTGAGAATTATAAGTTACTTTGGTAAGAATGCATCAGTGAAGAACATAAACACAGGCATCAATGGCACCAGGAGAACATTACAAGGAACAAGGAGCGGTGAAGTAAATTTTGTTCCGATTTGAATGTATTTTGTTTATACTACTTACCAGATTTGAATGTATTTTGTTTATACTACTTACCAAAAGCAAGATATGTACAAATATGATTTGTATTCCTTTTTAAATATTTTTAAATTAAATATTATAACTTCATAATAAAAATTATATAAATTTAAAAAATAAAAAATTATTGAAATATATATATATATATATATATA